CTGCGGAATTTTCAAATGCAACGAGGCTACCCCAATATTCTACTGGTCAGACAGTTTTCGACTTTCGGGTGATATCTCTCCATTGAGTGCCCGTGCCAAATCTTCGCCTTGACCGCTTCAAGTCTCGGTCGTCAGAACCTAGAGCGCATTGGTGGGTGTAATTAAGAGCCGCCGTCAGCCTCTGGTTGGCAACTAAGAGCTGGGCAAGGCTCTGGATGAGGGAACGAATAGGCATCGAGCCGGTCGAATGAATGGGGTCAGTTAGCCCATCTTAGCAGCTCCACAGCCCGTCTGACGAAGCTGGCCTTTGATGTAAGTTGGAAAATATCACCATGCTTACGGTTGGATGCTGCCCTTGAAAGTGCTGGTCCCGAGTCAAGTCGATTTGTGAGAGTATGATGCCCGTGTTCTCAACGGTAGCGGTTGGCTGGGTTGATGTCGGCACCTAACTGTGGTCACAGTGGTGTTAGAGCCACATCTCTGTCGATACCGCGATGTGATCGACGCTAGATTAATATGTCTTGGTCTGAGTCACTGGGTTTGTTGCCTCGCGGATTTGATCTTACAAACAAATCGTCAAATGTTCGGGCCGGATGCGAGGCCTGGGAGAGAGTAAAAGAGAGGGCAACAATGTCTTGCATCGAGCTGGCTTGCATGTCTCTTCAGCTGATCTTCGAAGCGTTGGCGTTTTCCCTCAAATGGCCGTGCCACGCGGGGAAGCTTTTGAGTAGAGGCTAATTTTGGCGTCTGCTGAGTACCATAGTGAGACGGAGAAGTTTTCGAGGGTTGGGGTATGGGCGGGCGGTGTCTGAAAGCGACCATGGACCGAGAGCGCCGCTCATCGAACAAGGCAAGTGCAGGACTCAAGTGTCACTATCTCATATTCTACTGGCATGGAGCAGCGCCTGCGAATAATTGGATGCTAGAGGATTTCCGACGTACAGATGTTGACTGTCCCTGGACGCGGAAACATGGAGCGTCTGGTCTGCGTACGACTCGCCGTCGTCTTTAACAGCACTGATAAAGTTCAGGTGCGAGAAACACACGACACGTACACACGATGACTAGTGGTAAGGTTGGTTGTGTCGAGCGCGAGCGGCTTCAGATGAATGCGGTGAATGGTGGTATTGGCGAGCGCCTTGACTTGTGTGGCCACCCGGTAGACCGTCTGACATGGCGTTACTCAGGGGCCTATTCGGGGTCGGACCCTGATGATCATGGTGTTATGGTTGAGGAGTGACACTCAGTAACCACCAGCTCGTAGGCGGAGACGAGGAAGGGAGATGCCGAGGGAGAGCGGCATGGATGGGATTGCTTCCGTTGCGCTGTTGGAGAGGAGGCACAAGCTGGGTGATTGGCGGTTCAGAAGGGGTCATCGCTGTCCGTCGTCGGTCTCGTTCAAGCCTGTCGGCTCAGCGTCCCAGAGGCTGCAACATGTGGAATTTCGAGTGTCCTACATAGAGTAGAGTTGAAACGGAAGACTGGTGGTTTGTTTAGCAAACGATAAACCACTATGTTTGTTACTTTCCTGGCCCAAGATGTCTCGCAACTTAGACTTGTGGATGGATGATGGACGAAAACGGCCATGGCAGACGTCTTTCTGTGTTGTAAGGTGCCAGTGGACAATGAGCGTCAGGTCTGTGACAGGCTTGGGGGGGAAGGGAAATATCTTACGAAGCAAATGCCAAGTTGTATGAAGGCAAAGTTTAAGGTAAGAAGGAAGTCAAGCTCAGCGCCCGCGCAAGCCACAGGTGGAAGGAAAGAGACAGTCAAGTGGGAGATAGAATGATCTTCCACTTGACTTATCTAGATCCCTACTACTATGATTACTATTTCTTTTCTCTTTGCCCTCTATCTATTCTATGAATAGTACATGAAAACAATAGTAAGAAGAAATAATAGAAAAGACAAGTACCTTACAGTATGAAAGATAGCAGCGGTAGGGCGGTAGGCGATGGAACTTGCCTACCCCAGTATGTTGGGGCATTGGCCGGCATAAGGTACTATTTTGTCCAGTGACGTATGGAAGGCTTCAGGCGGCAGAATGGCATACATACCTTCCTCACAGGGCACCTTCCCGAGGCAAGTAATTCAGAGAGGCTCGCTAATGGTACCTACCTAGGTAGAGTTGCATAGAATCAGAAAGAGGTACTAATAATCTGCATGCATAGGAAGGAACTCATCATAATGCAATACCAACGACCTACTGCCTATTACCTAGGTACGTAAGGTTGGGCAGATAATCTCCGTCCGAATGTTTGACTCGCATGGGCTGCACTGTCAGTTTGCAAGCCGGATATCTGGTTGCAAGGGAGGGAAAGCACTCCCACTCGGGGATTTGGAGAAACATCTCTAGAAGTAAACAAACCAGATGTGGGCACAGGCGATGACTTTGGCACTAGACGCTCGGGATTATCAAGGGGGAGGCTGAGCCGGATGCGATATTCGACGGGACGCCGCCATGATACAAGTTTAGAACAGCCGTATCTCCAGCTCCAGCTCCAGCTCCCGCGGCGGGTCCCGTCGATTCGATGACTTGGACCATGGTCAAAAGCCAGTCGGTCCGGCGGGTGGGGTTTTTCATCTCTTCATGACCCCCGGTGCGTGACACCTTCATCCACCAGCACCACGTCCGAGGCCCCCAGCCCAACGTCCACTCCCACGGCATACGGAGACGGCCCACAGGCTTCCGCGCTCATGGAGTGTTACCGCTCCCAACTGAGGAGCCTCACCTCCCGCAAGCTTTCAGGCTCGATGAGGCCCCTGTGGCTAACCCTTGCCGCTGGGTCGTGGATTTGTTCTCAGTGTTCCACGGGTGGGCAATGCCCCAGACTGGCACTTCAGGGACAATGCCATGGCAGTTTTGCCATCATGCTTCCTTGGATAGAGTAGGAATCCTCATGGCGCATCTCCCAGTAGCACCCCTTGATAAAGATAAAAAGTCCCAGCCTGAGATGGTCGCGAGCCACCTACCTAAGCCCGGTAGATAGGAAATGCACATGCCTCATGTAACATGTCAAAACCAACCAAATTATGTAGGCCGTACAGATGTAGATGTGTCTGATCCAAGGTGAGGCAGGTACTCCCAAGGCGTGTTGCGGTAGTTGCCGTGGCCGGCAAGACGGGTAAGGTGAGAGGCAAGCAAGGGAAGACACGAACAAAATCAAGGGCAGGCACCCCCTGCCGCACCTACCCTACCAGTCAGTACCTTACGCATGCCTGGGTCGCGCTTTCCCATTCCTCCCGTCGCCGAGAAAAACGTGCCTGCCACTCCTGCCCAACCTGAAGCTCCCTGACTGGTCGACGGGCGGGCGACTGGCGTGCTGAGAAACGGACAACGGGAGGCGCTTGCCGATGCAAAGACGCGGTGATGCACCGAAATGTGCCAACCCAACCAGCGACACGCTTCAAAACACCACACCTTCACTTTCTCGCTGGTGTGCTTACCTTACCTGTGGAGGGAGGGCATGTCTTCCTTAGCAGGCGGGAAGACGTAGAGCGATGCGCCTACGTACCTTAGTCGGGGGCGGCATCTACCTAGTTGGCAGGCGCGATGGGAGAGAGGGAAACAAGAAAAAAAAAAGAAACGTAGATACGGATTAGACGGGGACTGAGGGAAAAAAAAAAAGTCGAGACCAGTACTACGACCCCAATTTTATCCCGTCCAGATCTCCCTCTCTTTGATTTTTTTCTCTCTCTTCGTCCTCCACCTTGCCTTATTCCTGATCACGATCCTCGGCTTCGCTTTTCATTTTCGTATTATGAGGCCGCTTGTCCGTTCTCAAGCGACATAGTGAAGCAGCGGAAACGCGAACAGAAGAAGGGAGAACCCAAACCCCCATAAGCAGGCATAACATAATACCTACCCGGTCTCACATTGTTTTCCGTCTTGCATCCTTGATATTCGCACAAAGTGCAAGATCACCTCAAAGGCAACCTAATTTAATTCTGTCTGTCGCCTCTGGGTTTGGCATCTCTTTCTTGCCCGTCCTGCCTGCCTTTAACGCTTCGAGAGCCCATAATATCTGCACCACCCACACCCATCAGCGATCACTTAGTGCCCATAGCACTATCCCTCTTTAGCCATCCCCCCTGTAGTACGAGCGACCCCCCTCACGCTTTTCTCACCCAGACACAGGCAGAGGAGACCAATCCCTCCACACCTCTCTCTTTTCCTCTCCCATTTTCTGCGCTCCTCCTGCCGACTCCTGCCTTTCCGACCGAGCAGCCCGCCGCCGCCCAACACAAAACACGAAAATCCTCCCCTCAAACCCACCCTCACCTCTCCCTCCCCCCAAAGCCTCTTTTTTCCCCCACGAGGCCACCTCTTGACCCAACGGCGACGATACGTCTATTCAAGACGACAACGCGATATAGAGATTTCCATCTCTTCAATACATTCAAAACAACGACGATCAATCAAACAGACGAACTCCGCATCGCTGTTTACGGCAAGAGCGGCACCTGCTGAAAAAAAGGCGAAGCTATCAACAGACGGCCCTATCTCCAGCGGCGAATCCCACCCCATACAGGCGAACTCGATCCCGCACAGGGACGACGAAAATTTTCTCAACGACGACGCGAGACGCTACCACACTTTCTGGTCTGCGAAAAATCCATAACGTCGAACATTTCTGTCGCCGCTTTCTCTTCCTCGGAAAGAAAGGCCTACAAGAGCTGAGATCACTTCGCCGTAAGTCTTTCGCCCTGTCCCGCTCGCGCTTCCCCTCTCCTGCCTACTCACAACCACGTTGCCCTCAACCTCCCCGCGCGCTTCCCAAACAAAGCGGTTAAACAAGTATTTTACCATCTTGCGGCATACTGACCACGCGTCTTTTCTGAACAGACACGAGAAGTGCATCGTTCCCGTAAACTGGGCATTCTTTGTCTCTGGCCGCTGCAAAGTACACCCCCCCCCCCTTCAGTGCTCTTGCTTGCCGCAGTCGCGAACAATCCCCTCGGTATCAGCGGGCCATCTTTCTGGCTGGTGAGGATTTAAGATGGCGGACCAACATGAGGTCGACCTTGACTCGATAATCGACCGCCTCCTCGAGGTTCGTGGAAGCCGTCCCGGTAAGCAGGTGCAGCTTCTCGAGGCTGAGATCCGCTACCTCTGCACCAAGGCTCGTGAGATCTTCATCTCCCAGCCCATTCTTCTCGAGCTTGAGGCTCCCATCAAGGTACGCTTAATCTTTGGGCCTGGGTAGGCCAACTTACTTCCCCATGCTTTGCCTTCCCCGAGTTGCACAGACCTGCTGACGCCAACCCCTCACCCAGATCTGCGGTGATATCCACGGACAATATTACGACTTGCTGCGTCTCTTCGAGTATGGCGGCTTCCCTCCCGAGGCCAACTATCTCTTCCTGGGTGATTACGTCGATCGTGGCAAGCAGTCCCTCGAGACCATCTGCTTGTTGCTCGCCTACAAGATCAAGTACCCCGAGAACTTCTTCATTCTCCGCGGCAACCACGAGTGCGCCTCCATCAACCGTATTTACGGTTTCTACGACGAGTGCAAGCGCCGCTACAACATCAAGCTATGGAAGACATTTACGGACTGCTTCAACTGCCTGCCTATCGCCGCTATCATCGACGAGAAGATTTTCACCATGCACGGCGGTCTCAGCCCTGATCTGAACTCCATGGAGCAGATTCGTCGCGTCATGCGACCCACTGACGTATGTTTGCACCCCTCACGAAGCCAATTGCTGGCCTCGTCTCGAATTACTTGTTGACTAATTCTTCAAACCACAGATTCCCGATTGCGGTCTTCTCTGCGATCTGTTGTGGTCTGATCCCGACAAGGACATCACAGGCTGGAGCGAAAACGACAGAGGTGTCTCCTTCACTTTTGGTCCCGACGTTGTGTCCCGGTTCCTTCAGAAGCACGATATGGATCTGATCTGCCGTGCCCACCAAGTCGTGGAAGACGGTTACGAGTTCTTCTCCAAGCGCCAGCTCGTGACCCTGTTCAGTGCGCCGAACTACTGCGGAGAATTCGACAATGCCGGAGCCATGATGAGTGTGGACGAGAGCTTGCTCTGCTCGTTCCAGGTGAGAAGACGGCGATGGAAATTCTACTGTGCCGGCCAAGTCAACTGACGAGACTCTCCTACAGATTCTGAAACCTGCTGAGAAGAAACAAAAGTACGTCCCTGGTGGTCTCGGAGGCAACAGCCGACCAGTCATCTCTCCCCGGAAGTCCGCTTCCAAGTGAAATCAAGAGTTTATACGAACATGCACATCTTTTTAGGTTCGGCCGTCGTTAAATGCCTCCCGTCCATATCGACCGCTCTACTTTTACGTCCACCGACGCGGGTCTCTCGCGACCCCTTCACACCGTCCTCCCGCCTTCTCGATCCTCTGAGTCACCATCCGTCCACTCTTCGACTTGTCCGATTCTTCCCGAGCCCACCCACCGACTACAACCTGCGCAAACTGTTCACGATTACGGCTGTCTGGTAGCAGAAGATAAACACACAAAAACACTGGAATTTGCAATGGCTATCACAACGTTTCACGTGCCTCTGTGCGAAGCCCCTCGGTGGACATGAACTCACCCAGGGGTGTAATAATGAGTGATTTGCACGCCAATAACGCGCCAAGAACAGCCTCGATTTACTGTTCCATCGTGGGAATACTTGTCCCCTCCCCCAGCCGCCACTGCCACAAAGGCTTGTCCAAAAGTCATTGTGCTGAGGCGCCAATTGGCAATATCCACCGTGGTCACAGGGATCATATGAACTTGAACATCCGCTATTGTGCCCTCGAGCTTGCGTCGCGGCCGTAGGGGGCCGTGTCTCAGCTCAATGTCGCGGTGGCACTTGTAAGACTATAATCTACTCGGCATAGACAGAAGCAAGCCCGTCGTGGGGTTGGTATTCTGGTTTCTCAAAGGAGGCATCGCTCATCGGCCGGGTAACGGGGGGGTTGAGTGTCGCTTTTCACTTCTTTTTCTGCTTGTACTATTCTCCATTGACTCTGGTCTTTTTTTTTTCCGTCTTTTCTTGTAACGCTGGAGGAGAAGGGGCGTATGGTCGGCAGAGGTCTGTTGCTGAGACATGTGTTCAGGGGATCGCTGCACAGATCACTGTGTGTACCACCTTGGAATGATGGGGTCTAATAATCCGGCTCCGAATTGATAGTCTCTGTGAACAATTCGCTCTAGGCATTCCTGTGGGGTTGACCCGGCGTGGTCAGGTTCACGTCGAGTTCTGTCGCAAAGGAGGATGCTGCGGCTAGTGATTGCAATGAAAAAAGCCAACTTTTATACGTTTGATCAACCTGGCCGGATTCTCGGATGCGGAAGTAACGTGCTCATTGTGTATATTGTCTGTGTTTACTGAAAATTGTATGCTCCAGCTGACGGAGAAGAGAGTTCTTGAAATCATGCGTTGCATGTTTTGTGTCATCTAGTTAAACGCTCCATGCCCACGCGTGCCACCTAGATACCGCGTAGACGTTCCCGTCCGTGCCGATCCCCAGGTCCGAATCACTAGTAATCCCGGTTCGCATTCCAAAGCCCTTGCTTACCGCCCCCAGCTTCCCCGGCCACTGGGCAACAGAAATTGAGAGACATGTTGAAGTTCCTAGGGGTAGCAGTTGAGGCGAACATTGCGAGCTTGGGATCCCGTGGCCATGGTGCTACCTACGGCTAGCCCCGCGCTCCGGTCCCCCGCGCCAGGCCTAGCAAGGCTGGCTACACCAGAGTAGAGCAGGGCAGGGCTGAATACATTGGCCTACTAGACCAGATCAGGTGCCGATTGTATCTATAGGGACCCGGGTTTCTCATGCACAGTCCTCGCACTTCTCCTTGTTGAACTTGGCCGGCGGATCGTCATATTGCTGACCAGGCAGCTGGCCTGCGGGCGAGATCTCGGCCTTGGCCTGCTGTCCCTTGTTCGCGCGAGCTGCGCCGATGGCGTCTCGGGCTGCGTCGCTTAGAGAAGAGGATTCATTGTGTTCTTTGCTCTCGGAGGTGGGCTTCGTTTCGCTGCCGGCTGGGGAGTGGCCTGCGTTGGCGGGGTGCTTCTTGAGCTGGGAGACCACGTCCGAGGCGGCTGCGGAGGAAGGCATCGTCATTGTCGGCGCCGCGGCGAGTGCGTCGGAGGCCAGGGTCGGTGGTTGTTGGGTAGAGGTTTCGGGTGTGATTGCTGTTGCTGTCGTTGAAGTCTGATCCGTCGTCGCGTGTTTACGGTCGACGTGGCCGAGGTCTCTGCCGGGCTGGATGACGTCGCGGAGACGGCGCTTGAGCTCCTTGGTCTCGGGGAAGCCTCCTTCGGTCTTGCGGTCCCAGAGGATCGTTGAGGAGGTCGTTGTCGCGCCGGCGGGTTGGTGGGTTAGCGTCACGGTGAAGGTGCCACCTGTGGAGGGTTGGAGGGCGACCTCGCCGATGGAGGTTCCGAACGTCGATAGGAGCTCTTGGGCGAACTGTTTGTGGTGTAAGAGAGGTGTTGTTTTGCCGAGTTGTGTATACCTGGCTTTTGAGCAGGGTAGAAGGGACGGATGATGGGCTTGATTCACGGTGGAAAGGGCAACACTAGGCCAAGCACGAGTTGGAGGGGTTGGAAGAGGAGGTTGAGGGTGTCAGGGATGTTGCCGAGGATGAGGTCATCAACGGCCACCTCCCGTATAGAGGTAGGACCTGTGTAAGTGTATCCTACCTTGCGGCAGATAAAGGTAGGTGTTTACAAATTAGGAAAGCAAGGAAGTAAAGATGGATGGCAAAAGACCCGGCAGTGAGGTCTCCTCCTCCTGCCCTTTGGCTTGTACTTACATATGCTGCGCGAAGCATCCACTTACACTGAGTGCAGAACTGGATCGCGATGCGGGGCAGCGGCGTTGATGTCGACGCTGACTGCGGTTCGGTAGATGTTTCGGCCATTTCGGGATCGTTGCTGTTACCTGGAACGAGGAACAGGAGAGTGGACTACTGTGCAGACCTTTGTGATCTCCGCGTTGTAGTGATTAGGTAGGCTGCACGGGGAGAGGATGGGATGGTGTGGGAAATGGCGTCTATTCTCTTGTTCTTCCTGCGTCATTGGCGGCCAGCCAGTACTTTTTCGGATTGGGGAAGAGGGGGAAGGAGGAGGGGCGGTTGGTGCCATCCCAGCTTTCCTCTGATGATCAGGTAAGCGTGCAGGAAGCTGTGGCCATGCCGGCGCTGGTTCCCTTGAGACTGGGAGGAGGGGAAATGGAAAAGCCACACTTGCTGGCTTACGAAACAAAAAAGGACCCGACGGAAGTGTGCATGGGGAGATGGAGTGGAGGGACCTATTGTAAGAAACTGTTCGGATCCGAACTCGCACTCGGAAGGACGGTGATGCAGCAGCCAGCCGGCAAGAGCCTTGCTCTCAGCCGTGACCATCTGGCGGCACGTCCCATTGAGCAACGAAAAGAGAAAAGCCAGGCACACGCCAGAAAAGAGAGAATAACGGGCCCGCATATGAACTTCCCTCCCAGGACATTCCCCCCCCAGAACCCAGCACGTCGGTGGCAGCCAGTGGCTCGAACGCCCTGCAGCAATTCAGGTACGGGTGGGCCAGCACCAGGGATCAGGGCCGGCAGGGCTTTTCTTCGGACTTGTCCTGTGCTGCAAAATAGCAACACCAGACGGGGAGTGAGTCGTGCGGAAACAGTGTCTGTTGTTTTGGGACGCGTTTGCGCGCCGGGCCCTTTCTCGACTGACGACGATGGGAAAAGTCGGTCCTGAGTCGACTCTGAGGTAGAATAGGTAAGGTAAGGTACGGATACGTGTGCATAAAGTGCGCACACGTAACTCCGGGGCCGGGAAGACTTTTGGAAACACGTGTGTACCCGTGGGACCCGTGGAAAGTGGTTTCCGGAATTTCCTGACCGTGAGGTGAGGTATCTTACCTTGCTGCATAGTGATACAGCCAGCGCCTGCAAAAGCCCAAACGTCTGCAGAACACTGGCGGTGGGCACATCGCCTTGATCTTGGGGGTTTTGCTGGGAGGAGAGGACGGTTATCACCCACCTCGGGTACAGCAGCAACCTCGGGATAGGGGCGTAGTAACAGGGGGTGCTGGAGTACGGAGCCCCGTCCGGCAACGAACACCAGAAGGCAAAGATACCTTGGACCAGAATTGAAAGGAAAGATTTGTGGTGTTGCAGCGGCGATGGCGGGAGGGAGAAAGGGGAAGGAGAGCAGTAGAAGTAGTAGTAGCCATCATTCAGTATCTGGACACAGTGAAACACCGTATGAAGCAAACCAGAACGTTGAACCTCATCTAACCAGTGTTTTATCGAGCGCCGTACGCAGTACAGGCTACGGATACAACAACTCCAATTGGCAATGGCGGCTCACCGACGGTCCAAAGAGAAAACCACAGGTCCCACCACTACTGTACTCTTTCTTAACCCCCCCCCTCCCCCCGGTAGCCGAAGACTCGAAGCGAAGGGAAAAAAAGATGAGTTGACAGGCGGGCCAGGCCCGATGTAATCCTCGGGAAATGAAAGCTGGTGCTCTTGTAGCTCTTTTCGGCCTCGAACAGGCGGAGTGCGGTAACCTCCCCCCCATCGGCATCCAATGATCCAATCCCAGGATTTCGAAAGTCGGCGCCGAACGATTCATCCCCCAGTCTCGCTCGGCCAGGGCGCAGGGGGTCATGAATCCATAAATCTGGCTTTATTCATAATTTCACAGTGAGAGAATGGAGGTGAGGACAAGAACGAAAGAGAAAAAAAGGGACGCTGCATATGTCTCAGATTTCCTGCTCTCTCACCTGTGACCTGAAGTGGCACCAGCCCAATCGTACCCGCCCCCCCCCCCCCACAGAAAGACCGCAAGGCGAGGAAGGGGGAGTAAAAAATACCACACGAAAAAGCTTGTCCCCCATTCCCGTTTTCAATCCCTCTTTGCTTTTTCCCCAGAAGTCTGCCTGTCTCTCTAGGTATCCGTAAGGTAAACGGCCCTGATGTGAACTGGTTTGCAATGTCTCTCGTCTTTCCCTACTTCCAGGACTCTGGGTCACCACCCTCACTCCCCCTCTCGCTTGCTTACCAATACGCGATCGGGTTGGCCATCATTTCGGAGATGCGATGCGGAAATCTGGCTCAGGTCACGGGAGTTCCTATTACTTTTGCGTAAGCCTGTAAGGTAGTAAACCATACCTGAAGGTAAGGTCACGCTGCTTCTAAACCTCCCCCCAAATTGGATTGGCTGCTTCCCCCCGGGTCCCGCCAATGCGGCCATTGGTTGGCCGAAATGACCTGATATGGGACCACCGCAGATGCGAGTGATTTCGTGGCTCCACGGGGGGCGCGCGAGATGCAGGCTTGAGGAGGGTTTTGGTGATCTACCCTCTTGTGAAACCCCCCTTCAGGCTTCAGGTATCCGTAACATGCACACCACTTTTGTTTGATTCATCGTTAATCGAATTGCTGTCCATGATTGCCGCCGTCTATCCGCCTCTTACCTACCCCAGTAATCGATCAACTGCATGGCACCAAGCACCCCCCGACATCAAAGTACGACGCGACCGTAAGCCGTGGTAATTGCTCGAATTGTTATCTTGTTTTTTCGGGGAGACCAGGGAATTTGATGGATTGAAGCTATTCACACACTCGGTGCGGGATATAGTGGATAAGGGGGAGACCCGAGAAGGAAAAAGAGTACAGGACATCAAGAGAATTATTACATGCTGAAGAGCTGCCCGCCAAAAAGCCCTGCCTCCCCAACGACAACCTCCCAATAACAACAGAAAAAGAACAACATAGAAGCATTATCGTAGCGGGGTCCGTTGCATCTTCAACTCTCAAGCATCTCCCCTCGCTTCCTCTCACCCACCTCCTCCGCTGACGGAGCTTGCTCGCTTCTCCCTTTTTCACTCACTCTCTCAAGTATTACTAACCCGTGTCGCTGTCCGTGGCTTTTCGTTTTGATCCGTCAAAGGGGACAAAGGTATCTGTCGTTTGGCTGGCATTGTAGAACCCCCCTAAACCCTTCCTAACCCAGGAAACTTTTGTTTGCTTTTTCTCTTCGACTCCAAGCTGGTCCAGGACTTTTTTGGGATTCCGATGATTCCACGACCGCGTAAAAGAATAACCAGCAGGTGTCCTCTGTTTTCTTTCCGGTTCTTCGAGAAGAAACGATCGTTCGCTGTTTACGGAAGGTTGCTGCATTCCCGATGGCCCTCGGGGGTCTTGGTATTCCACGCGTAAAATAGAAAAATGACAATCCGATCGGAGCATATCGACTGTTCCGATATCAACATCGCTAACCCATGATATACGTTGCTTTACATCACCAAGCAGCATCCGCCGCTTTGTTGTGGTGCGTAGGGGTCTTCGCCGCGGGGGACAGCGCCCCAAACCGATGGAACCATGTAGTCCCTCGTGCTGTTGCAGTAGGCAATGATGCTAGAATGATGTGAATTAGTCGCTGATTCGCCCGTTCGCGATGGAATCAATGGCTGTTTGTTCGCATTGATTTGCATCGATGATGATGATTGATAATCCGAGACCTACCTCTTAGAAGCATTGCTGACCGGAATCCGTTCCCTTTCGAGATCCTCGCGCAGGCGGTTGTTGAGTTCCGTCAATCGTCTCAGCTTGAGGTCGGCCATCGACTGCTTGTTCTTCTTGATCTGCGACGGGTCGCCGACATCGCGGGAGGTGTATTGAGGCATTGCTGTCGCGGATCGGGGGGCTGGAGACTTTGATGAAGAAGGTGTCGCGGAGGATGAGGCGACGGCGGCGGCGACAGAGGGTTCAGCGGCGGCGGGTTGTCGTCGTGATTGTTTGTCGTCGGAACGAGGCTGTTGGACCTGATCCTGCCGCTGGCGAGAGGTGGGAGAAGTGGCTGTGGTGGCTACAGCAGATGATTCGGCGGTGGTAGGAGAGGTGGTGGTGGTGTTGTGAGAAGAGCGTTCCTGATGAGAGAGCATATCGTGTCAGTTTGATTAAAGTTTCCCTCTTTTGACTCCGCTTTGGCGGTGGTTGCCGCGTTTTCCCACCACCCCGTGGTACGAGCTCAGGATCGGAAGCGGGATGGGGAGGATTTAAATGGCCAGTAGGGGGGGCGAAAAAACTCACAGCAGCGAGAACCGCGGGGGAATTGAGAGAGTGATCAAGGCCGGTTTCGATCGAAGCGAATCGACAAAGGAAAGAACGTCGGGGGTGATTGGATTTGGGGGGGAGGATTACGAGTGTTGGAAGAGATGGGTAGGTTGGTTGCTCGGATAATGGGTTGGGATTTGGAAAAGCAAAGGAGAGGACGGGACGGGCGACGGGGAAGGAGGAGGGAGTGAGTGGAAGGAAAGGTAGAGGTAGAGGTAGAGGTAGGTAGGTGCAGGCAAGCCGCAGGTGCAGTTGGGAATTGGGAATTGAGTAGGTGAGAGAGAGGACGGGAGGGAAGTCACGTACTGCTAGTGTCTGGGAGACGGGCTGGGACTGGGAATTGGGACTGTGGACTGGGACTAGGAAAGCTGGGATTGGATTGGATTGCGGAGCCCTTGGGAAAGGTTCCCCTAACGTGAAAGGAAAGGTCAAAGGTCAATGGACGCAAGGTTACCTTCTTGCGCTAGGGCCACCAGGTGCGCCATGGAAGCAACGACCGCCCCGTCCCTGGAGGGTACCGAGCCGCATTGCATCTTTGCTGTACGGAGTACCGCGCGCGGATTTTTATGGAGCGAACCGAAGCGAGAGTACTTGCCAGCTGTTGCCAGACCATCACAGGTTTACATCCTGGGGTCTACTGCACAGTACCTGTGTGTGCTTGTGTGCATGTTTGTGCATTTGTACAGGCTGCATGCTGCACTGCTGCAGGTCAAGTGCGTTTGCGTTGCTGTTGGCAGCACCCTCCCCCGGGTGGAGTGTGGTACCTGACAGTGTGTTCCAGGCGGTTAAAGGTACATCCACTTTCTTCTCCTTAGTCATCATTGTGGCTTTTGGATTGGACAGCGGACGGGTCGGCAAGGGTGGTGACTGGACCCGGCGCCGGCGGGGGTGTTCGCTGAGGTTCCAGTCGCCTCACAAGAAATACTGAAATTGTACGTAGAGAAGCGACTTGGCGCACGGACCCCATCTGTTGTAGACCAGCATTGGTGGGATTGGTTGGAAATTGGCCGGAGCGGGCAATCTCCCATATTTGGGTTTCCCCTAGTTGGCCGGTACCCCGATTGCGCCCATAGAACACGGATACAGTCATGACGACGAGCACGAGACGCGACACCCACGACTGTACAGAGTACTCCAAGTCGCAGCATGTGGTGTAGGTTGATGACGATGAATGAGCTGCACATCTTGGGCATCAGGTGTGGCGAACCCAACATTTGACCTTCGTTTTTCTCCCCTTTCTTTTGCGATTCCCGTGCCCAACTGCCATACCAAGACCCGGCATCTCGATCAGACTTTGACTCTGCACTGCCGACTCTTACACAGAAGTCTCCCATATATCGTGCGGCACTCTCTAGCCGGCTCGCCTCGATGCCGAAGCCAATAGATGTCGCGAAGTTTTCACGAGGACCGTCGTATGTATGATAGGGTGTCAACGACATTTTTGCTTTTAACATTGAGACGTGCCATGGAACTCTACCTCATGACGTTTTCAGTTGGGCTGACGACCCTTGGCCCTCCGGCCAGACAAAGAACGGAGAGCTGCCGAGGGGCTAGCTGAAAGAACACGCTCATGAGAGATGCCCACGGCGCCATGCTCTATATCGGGAATATTCATAAGAGATGTACCGATTAATATCGGTCCTTTTCTCGTCTTGTCCAACGCGAATTCTTTGCCAGCTTACCCGAAGTGACGACACGCTTATACTTACGCAGAAGATACTCGTAACTTACAAGCCTGTCCGAGGAAGTTATCCATACTGCTGCCCTACCCGTTCACGAATGTATAATTATGCACATGTCCCCTGTGCCTGCAAGTTGGAAGTGAGGAGATACGATTCAAGATCGGTGATTCTCGATCTTCCCGCTCTGCCAAAAAAAGTGTGTGAAGTCGCCATCTACCTCGGTCTCGGTGGAGCACAACGGGAGCATGCCCCCGTCCGTATCCGGGATTAGAGAAAGTTCGGGGAGGCTTTTGACTAGAAACCGACAAGGCTGGCAAATAAGTCTGAAAATCGCGGTTGGGACCTATCAAGTGAAGTGACGGGAAGGAAGGTTTCGAAGAGACTTAGCGCAACGGAAAGCGCAATGTTCACTCGAATTGGACATCATCTCAACAGTGTCATCGGCGACTTCGTTCCCGTGACGGAATTGAGCCATGGGACAACAAATGACATCGGAGGTACCTCAGTCCTAGCCTGCCCAATAATTTGGGACGGGACGACAGCAGTGAACTGAGGGACGGGAAGGTGCAGCAAACCTTGGGTGGTAAATCAGTCAGCCTCGGCTGACATAATCTCTTATCACGTGATATCCGTTTCGCACAACGCACGGACGTTCGGAGCCCCTCAGGACTCGCATAGCGGCCACACACGAAATTGAAAAATTCGTCTTTGCTGTGTATAGCATCAACGCCAACGCACCGAGCGACAGCCAAGTCAATATCTCGCTCGCACGAAAAGGCTTGCGCTGCAACTCCTCAAACCAAGGACCCTCTCGAGAATAGTATTTTCCCGCAGAGGAGGTTGCCCATCATGGTGAGTTCCTCTGCTCGCTTTCTCAACCTCTGGGCCCGCCTGCCCAAAAATTTCCCACATGGATTTGACGCTACCCCTCTCCGACCTTGCTATCACGGGGCGTCATGTTGCTTGCTGCTGTTGTCGAACTGAAGTACTGACAAGAAGCCATAGCCTCCTCCACCTCACCAGAAGCCGGAGAACGTCCTCAAGCGTGCTCACGAGCTCATCGGCGTCAACCAAGTCCCGGCCGCCCTCACCCTCCTCCACGAGCACATCACCTCGAAGAGAAGCCGAAATGTTCCCATCGCGTCGCTGGAGCCGGTGATGCTCCTGTTGGTAGAGCTCTCCGTCGAACAGAAGAAGGGAAAGCTGGCCAAGGATGCCCTTTACCAGTACAAGAACATCAGCCAGAACACCAACATCGGCACCATCGAGGTAAGCCATCTCGCCGCCGCAGAAATGGGTTAGGGCAACCGTTGCTAACAGGGATATGCGCAGCTGGTTCTCAAGAAGTTCATCGAGCTCGCCGCCGAGAAGGTCACCGTTGCCCAGGCCAAGGCCGATGAGGTCCAGTCCAGCATCGAGGCCAACACCTCCACCACCAACGTCGACGACTTGGAGGCTAGCGAAACACCCGAGTCCATCCTCCTTGCCACCGTCTCCGGCGAGCAGTCCCGCGACCGTACCGACCGCGCCATCGTCACCCCGTGGCTCAAGTTCCTCTGGGAGGCATACCGCACCGTTCTCGACATTCTTCGCAACAATGCCCGTCTCGAGATCCTCTACCAGAGCACTGCCATGCAGGCCTTCGACTTCTGCCTGAAGTACACTCGCAAGACCGAGTTCCGCAGACTTTGCGAGCTGCTCCGCAACCATGTTCAGACTGCCGCCAAGTACTCTGCGCAGATGCACGCCATCAACCTCAGTGACCCCGACACCCTGCAGCGTCACCTGGAGACCCGTTTCCAGCAGCTCAACGTTGCCGTCGAGCTAGAGCTCTGGCAGGAGGCCTTCCGCTCCGTTGAGGACATCCACACTCTCCTCAACCTTAGCAAGCGCCCTCCCAAGAACATCATGATGGCCAACTACTACGAGAAGCTCACTCGTATTTTCCTTGTCGGCGAGAACTACCTTTTCCACGCCGCCGCCTGGTCCAGATACTACACCCTTCTCCGCCAGTCCGCCGCTGTCGTTGCCAGCGGACAAGGCAAGAAGGCTGACAACCCTCCCGCTACCGAAAACGACCTTCAGAAGGCCGCCTCTTTCGTGCTGTTGTCTGCTCTCGCCATCCCTGTCATTAGCACCACCCGCTCCCGCGGTGCCATGGTCGACTTCGATGAGTCTCGCAAGAACAAGAACGCCCGTCTTACGCACCTGCTCGGCATGGGCCAGGCCCCTACCCGTGCTGGCCTTTTCCGCGATGCCCTCGCTAAGCAGATGCTGAAGCGCGCTCGCCCTGAGATCCGCGATCTGTACAACATCCTCGAGGTCGACTTCCACCCTCTCTCCATTTGCCAGAAGATCTCCCCTATTCTCACCAAGATCGGTGACGATGCTGAGATGGAGAAGTACATCCTGCCTCTGCAACAGGTCATCCTCACTAGACTCTTCCAGCAGCTCTCCCAGGTGTACGAGACTGTTGACTTGGCCTTTGTTGAGAAGCTTGCTCAGTTCCCCGAGCCTTTCCAGGTTACTCGCGGCACCATTGAGAAGTTCATCATGAATGGTAACAAGAAGGGTGACTTGGCCATTCGCATGGACCACGCCACCGGTGTCCTCAGCTTCGACAACGATGTCTTCTCCTCCGCCAAGGCTGCTCACGCTGGATCTTCTGCTGGCTCAGCTGAGGCCGACGGCAGCTCTGTCCAGCGTCTCCAGAGCACCCCCTCTGAGATTGTCCGCTCTCAGCTTACCCGCCTCGTTAAGTCTCTCCACACTACCTGCTTCTACATCGACCCTACATACAACCAATCCCTTGTTGCCGCAAGGGAAGCCGCTCTGGAGCGTGCCCGTGCCGGTGCCGAGCAGGAGCACCACTCCATTCTTGCAAGAAAGGAGGTCATCCACAAGCGCAAGGAGGAGGCTTCTGAGGCTCAGGCTCGTAAGGAAAGAGAGAATGCCCGCCAGAAGCGTCTTCGTGAGCAGCTGCTCCAGGAGGCCGAGGACAAGCGCCTCGCTGCCGAGCAGAGGGAGCGCGAAGAGAAGCGCATGAAGGCCGAGCGTGACCGCGTCCGCAAGGAGGAGCTGAAGAAGCAGATTGCCGACCTCAAGATTGGCAACAAGACGATCGACATCGACATGGACAACTTGGAGAACCTCGATTCCGGTGCCATTCATGCCATCAAGCTAGAGCAGCTCAAGCGTGAGAAGAACGACGTTTCAGAGAAGCTCCGCATCGTCTGGAAGCGTATCGACCACTTGGAGCGTGCCTTCCGAAAGGAGGAGGCCAAGAAGCTGCCCGAGGACTACAAGAAGCAGACGGAGCAGGACCGGGCGACCTACGAGGCTGTCAAGGCCCAGACCCTGAAGGAGGCCGAGATCAAGCACAAGGAGAGCGTCGAGCTGAAGCACCGCCTCACCCGCCTGATGCCCGAGTACGAGTCCTTCCGCGCCAACCTCCACGAGCGTCGCCGCGACGAGTTCGAGAAGCGCCGCAGAGACGCAGAGAGGGAGCTGGAGAAGCAAATCGCCGCTCGCAAGAAGGAGTACCGCGACCGCAAGCTCCGCGAGAAGCGCGAGCGCGAGGAGCAAGAGAGAGTCCTCCGCGAGGCCGAGGAGCGTGCCGCCAAAGAGAAGGAGGAGCAGGAGAGACGTGCCGAGGCCAAGAGAGCCGAGATGCAGCGCCTCAAGGAGCAGCGCGAGCAAGAGCGCCAGGAGGGTCTCGAGAAGGCTGCCCTCCAGGCGAGACGCGAGGAGGAGGCCCTGGCCCGTCGCAAGGCCGAGAGAGAGTCTCAGCGGGCCGCACCACCTTCCCGCGTTCCCGAGCGTGGCACCGATTCCGTTCCCGAGGGTCGTCGCCCGCTCAACCTGCCCGGTGCCGGAAAGTGGCGCGAGCGCGAGGCCGCCAACAAGGCCGCCTCCCCCGCCAACGCCGATGCCGCCCCTGCTGCTCGCGCTCCCCCATCCCGTGGTCCGGAGCGTTCCGAGCGCCCCGAGCGTTCTGACCGTTATGAGCGTCCTTCCGAGCGTGCTGAGCGCTCTGAGCGCCCTGAACGTTCAGAGGACCGCCCCAGTGCCGGAGGCCCGCCTCGTCTCGCCCTCGCCGGCAACAAGCCCAGCTGGCGTGAGCGTGAGGCCGCCAAGGCCGCTTCTGGTGGTGGCGCGTCGTCCGACAGTGCGCCCCCGCCCCCTCGCGCCTCCGGCGACCGTGGTGGTGCCCCCCTCAACCGCGGAGGCTCCGGACGCGATGATCGTGAGAACGGCCGCCCCGACCGAACTGCCTCGCCTGCCACGCCGGCAGAGCCCCTCAAGGCTTCCGGCGCTCCCGGCAAGTGGGTTCCCCGTCACCTTCGCGACAAGGCCTAAATGTGTAGTGTCGATAAAGACACTTATCATGGCAAGAGTCACATAGGAAGGACAACGAAAATTGTGGGGGGGGGGGAGGAAAGAGGGGAGGAGGGGTAGATGGAAGTGAAGGGAAGTGGTTACCGCAAGTTCTGCATCGGCGTTCTAGGTTAGGCAGGAAGTTGTTTTAAAAAGGATGTAACTCTAGAAGCCCCCCGGGAAGGATGGTTTTCTTCTCTAAAAACCCGCTCCTTTAACAGAGGGGGCAAGCTAGAATGGAAGTAACAGATAGCCTTCAATCGTCGATCAGGACGGGGGTGAAATGTGACATGACTTTTTTGGCATAGCTCCTGGCTGGAATTGAATTATTTTTTGCACTTATACCCGTCTCCTTCTTTTACGGTGATGCTCGAATGTGT